TGCACAGGGGTTACTCCTGGCTTTGCACTCAGGAATTACTCCTGGTAGTGCTCAGGGGACCACATGGGATGCTGGGAATTGAACCCTGGTTGGCCGCGTGCAAGGCAAACACCCTCCCCACTGTGCTATCGCTCCAGCCCTGGGAAGAACCCACTTTTCTGATGGAAACCACGACCATTGTCTTCTGTCTGAGTTTCCTATGCAAGCAGAGAGCCTTAAAGAGAATTTTCCCTCCTTGGTGGGCTTGTGAAGTGGGTATCAGAATATCCCCCCATCCCCCGACAGACTCCAGTCCAGGGCAGCGAGCCCCTCTGCTCAGGATGGACCCCCCAGCCACCATCACTGTCATTTACTCATGCGGAGAGCCAGCCTGGATGTTTGCCAACTTACCCTTTGTGGCCCGGGCCGCTTGAGCACTGTGGACAGGAGCCTTGAATCTGTTGGTGAAAGCCAGAAAGAAGGTTCTGGTGGGTTCACTGGGCTGGTGAAGGCAGAAGCACCAGCAGTGGGAGGGCAGGAGGGGCTTTTCCTCTTAATCAGCTCCAAGGCCTTGGCTGCAGCTGTGTGCCCCCTCCAGGGCCACCCAGAGTCCCGTCTCCCAGGGGTGGGGCAGCACCCCAGGAACTGTGTCCACTGGTCCAATTCCTGCTTCGCCCAGCCCTGAGATTTTAAAAAGTGCCATATTCAAGGCTTTTTCAGGGTTAGGAGAATGAGACCCAGCATTGTTTCTGGTATTTGGCATATTGGGTACGCCACGGGGAGTTTGCCAGACTCTGCCGTGAGGGCAGGTTACACGCGGTAGCCTGCCAGGTTGTCCAAAGTAAGAATGAGATAATAAGATTGCTCCAGCCCCAGATAATGTCTGTGTTTGAGAGGCTCCTTGAGAACTTTGTCAAAAGCGGGGGGCACAAGCAGCGACCTCGGGGAGCCCAGAGCATGGACTTCCCATCGTGGGAGCCCAGAGCATGGACTTCCCATCGCAGGTGCTGGGGGCATGAGCTGCACCCCGCAGGCTCAGAGCAGGGCGACCTGTCAGCTCCATCCTCCCCACCCTCCCGGGATTCAGGGCGTGATATCTCTGCAGTGGCCACAGCAGAAACGGGTTGTTTGTCCTCCTGGATGTTTCAAACATCTGTGTTGTTCTCTCGGATGAAATTTCCCCCTGACAGTGAGTAGGGCGTTTGCCTTGCATGTGGCCGACCCTGGTTCGATTCCTCTGTCCCTCTCAGAGAGCCCGGCAAGCTACCGAGAGTATCTCGCCCACACGGCAGAGCCAGGCAAACTCCCCATGGCGTATTCGATATGCCAAACACAGTTAACAACAAGTCTTACAATGGAGACGTTACTGGTGCCTGCTCGAGCAAATCGATGAGCAACAGGACGACAGTGCTACAGTGCTTCCTGTCCCCCCACCCCGCCAGAGGGACCAGGTTCTCGCCTTCTCGGCTCTTCCCTTCCCTAGCTGACAACTCCGTCTTTCCCTCTCAGCCTCAGATGTACCGTACCTTTTTAGTTTGTGGTTCACTGTGCCCACTTAGGGATGTTTTTCTCCACTCGATTCTCGGAACCGGACCAAGTTTTTTTTTGGGGGGGGGCGGAATTGATTAGCCCTTGTTTCTGTGGTGGCCCCTTTGTGCCCCATGACAGAGTACAATGGGACCGCTTAGCTGAAGGATTAACTTTCTCTCTTGCATTCTTGCAGCGTCGATGTATGTCCCCGAGGTCCGGCTCCCTTACTGATGAAATAAATATCCCATTCTTGCCAATTCCTCCCCGGGTCCCTCACTGTTGATTTTCCAAGTTTATGAATAGTCACATATTTATACAACTGGCCCCAAGTATACTACTTATTTTTCTTCTGGTCTGTAATAACCTGTGTGAAGTTATTAAAGGGTGTGCGGGCGGCTTGTCGGGCCCCGTTTCTTATGTCATTACTTTATACAAGCAGGTCAGATTCCATCGCGGCAGCCGCCGCCTGCTCGTGGAACCTTTTTCTCTGATTATAAATGTAATATATGTTCATTGTGGGAAACTGGGGGCGGGCGGCGGACGCACAGGACAAAGAAAAGCACTTTAAAGATCCACTTCTTAGAAATAACTATTAGGTGTTTCTCTCTCTCTCTCTCTCTCACACACACACACACACACACACACACACCCACACACACACGCACGTTTTCTTCCTCCTTGCATAGATTTGTTGGGAAAAAAAGAGTAATTGAGTCTTATATCCACATGTTGCTGTGGGTTGTCTTCCCTACCCTGGAGATTGGGGTGCAGTCTGAGCTTCATCCCCCCACCCCAACGGGCACACCTGCCCTCCTCCACCCCAACTTATGTTCGAGCTGGCTTTTGTTCAAAAGTCCTTCCTAACCCGCATCAGATGATATCACCCACAAAGTCATTATTAGTTTCTTTTTCTTTCTCTAGTCAGTGCAGGGAAATCTTTGGGCACCTTTGAATTTGGGGTGAGGAGTTTTGTCCTGTGCATCGGTAGGTTTTGGTCTTGTCCGCAACACAGGGTCGCCTAGTAATAACCCCTCATCGAAGCAGAAGGCAGGGATCTTAGTATTGAAACCTAAGAGCAGGCAGCCACGCATAAAAACCTTTGTTTTTTGCCGTGAAACGTTTCCTCTGGCATAGTATATACTTTCGTGGACTAGATGCTTATTTTTTTTTCTGTGAATAATGAGTTTAATATGTCTGATTTCATTGCTCACGGTGGCAGCAGATTGACTTCTTGGCTCTGTAACCACGAGCTCCCTCAGTCATTTAGATGGGCTCTTTTCATTGAGGACATTGAAGTGTTGGGCTTTCTAATGTACCTTGTCTGTGTCACCTGAGAAACGCATCCTTCTCCCCTCTCCCCCCGCCCTTGCCTCCCCCAATCAGACAATCACTCAATTAACCACCGTGGGGGTGGTTGATTCACTAGGAATTAATTCATCACGCAAACAACTGAAGGGGTGGGTTGTCAACAATTCAAATTTTATTGGCGGCAAAGGCGGAAAGCATTGAAACCAAGAATTAGAATGTTCAGGATGCTGAAATATGGCTTCAGATATTCAAATGTATCATTTAATTGTCATAAAAGCTATTTTTATGGGGAAGCCTCTTTGTTGGCAATTAGGGTGATGGGTGGGTGGGGTGGCTGTGATCTGCAGCTCAGGTGTCTCCTGCATTTTGTGATTAAATGCCCTGGATTTTACAACTGCCAGCTTCCCTGCATAAAGAGCTCTACTTCTCTCTACCAGTCTAATTTGAAAAAAAAAAAAAGGAAAAAAATCTTCTCCAGGGTTTAGAAAGTAATTCATAAAATGGGAGGAATGATAAATATTGTGCTTTCACTCATATACTAGTAGGGAAAAAGAGATTTGGTACACCTGGGTGTAATTTCCGTTAATTTCCACAAGAGACAAGTTGAAAGTTTACTGTTTGGAAGGTGGGGGAGATGGCAAAATCTCGTATTTGCAAAAATGATTACATTATCTTAAATGAAAATGCTACTCTATTAGCAAGCTCAATAAGCATTGCATTTGGGGGAAAAGAAAATCTTTTGAATAAAAAGTTACCCGAAGTTCACTCCAACTTAAGATATACAAGTGAGGAGAAAGTACTTACTCTGATTTATGTTTCTTTTGGAGGTGTAATTATTGGCTTTTTACTCACCTATGTAAAACAATGTACTTTTGTAAATGGATTTCTGACCACTTTATGCAGCATTTTTTCCCTCCTTTTTTTCTTACATAAAAAGTAAGCACTGTCAATCAAAGAATTTTAAGGTTTATTTCCTCTTTAGAAATGATTGATAGCCTTTTAGATTTACAAGTTGACAAGTTAAAGGGTTCTATTGGTATAATTATGTACTAAATTCACAGTCTTTCAATTTAAATGTCCTTTTAAAACCACAAGATTATCATACCTGTATTTTGAAAAGTGGGCCAGCCAGTTTGGGTTGGTGTACAAATTGCTTCCATTAGCCTTGGGACCTATTTGAATTTAATACAGTTTTTTAAAGTTAGGAGTAGTGTAAATCTTACTTTTAAAATTTAGGTTAATGGAAATGCATTTTAAGTAAAGCAAGTGGCAACTTGTTTTCTAATGTATAGCTGAATGTCAGAACCACAAAGACTGTCTTTCTAATCCAGTGTGGGAGAGAAGATATGGTCACAGTGGGGGAAAAAATGAAAAAGAAAGAAGAAAGAAAGGAAACAGTTCCCTGACTCCCCCACTCAGAGGAGGGGGCCGTAGCCCCCAGGAAAGGCCCGATTCCTCTCTGGCCCTGCTTTATGTCTGGGGGCAGCAAGAGGGGTTGGTGATGAGAAACTTTGGCCCAGGACCTCCAAATACTGCTCTCCTTTTCTGCTTACTTCACCGAGGGTGGCTTTGGGGCTGGAGTGATAGCATGGAGGGGAGGGCATTAGCCTGACACACAGCCTACCTGGGTTCCATCCCCGGCATCCCATAGGGTCCCCCGAGCACCTCCAGGAGTAAGTCCTGAGTGCAGAGCCAGGAGTAACCACTGAGCATCGTCAAATATGCCTCCCCCCAAAAGAAAACCCCCAAATCCAAGCCAAATCAAGAGGCTGGGTCTTTCTCTTCAGACTGGTGTTGTGGGGGGGGGGGGAGGGGTGTGTGGGTGAGGGTCCTTGGATCAGAGCCCTGCAGTACCTCGAGCCAGCTCCGTGCTGGCCACCTCATGGTGTAGGGTCTGTAAACACCCCTCAAAGCCCGGCAGCATTTCATCCCAGCTTCTCACTCAGTGACCCTTCCACCCTCCCAGCCAGCCAGGGCCCTTTGATGCCATTGCCAATCACTTCCAGGGCATGGGGTGGGCCAGGCGAGCAGAGGTCAAGGCCAGCATTGTTTTTTTTTTTTTCTTTTTCTTTTCTTTTTTTTTGGTGGTGGGGGGGAAAGGGTGGTCATGGCTGACCTGGAGAGGGGGCCGTCTCCTGTCCTGGCCGGAAATGGCTCTGACCGTGCCTCCTCTTTCCTTGCAGCCCTGAATGAACCCACCATTGACTACGGTTTCCAGAGGTTACAGAAGGTCATCCCGCGGCATCCTGGAGACCCTGAACGTTTGCCCAAGGTAAGTTGGGGGAGGGGCTCTCCTTTGCCTCCTCCGTGGGCACGAAGTCTTCACATGGGCGGGGACTGGCGCATCCAGAGGGGTGGGCTCCAATAGGGGCCAACGAATGTGGCCCTCCCCCCCGGCGGGCACATGAGGGCCTGGGTGTCGTTGCTGTGCGGGCCCGAGACGAGGGCAGGGGGACACCAGGTCACCCTTGCCCAAGGCCATCGCATGGAGTCTCAGCTCTGTGCTGGCCTGGGGTCTCAGCTCAGCCCTGTGTTCGCTCCTTCCTGCCAGGGGGGCAGGGAGCAGAGGGACCCTCCTTCCCCCCGTCCTGTGAGTCCAGAACTCCAAAGAAACCCACTGCAGGGGGAAGTAGGCGGCCCTGCCCCCAGCGCCAGTCTGGTCACTCCTGGCCCGGTACACGACCCGTGACAGAGCAAACAACAGGTGGGTGGAGCAATGTTGCTCCTAGTGGCCAATGGAGCCCCGTGCCCTGTGCGGGGCTGGTGTTTGTTTGGCCGTGGGCGCACGGGGTGGAGAGCACTGTGGAGGAGCAACTCGTGCCCCGGCAATAGGAGAACAGGTCATGCACCCTGGGCCCCGGGCAGCCCATGTCCCTGAGGACTCAGAAAAGGAAAAACCTTTCCTGGGTGCCCGGCGTGAAGGCAGCTGGCAGCAGGATGCCTTCTCCTTGGCATGGGGCCCGCCCGGCCCGACGCCTGCCCTCTGGGCCCCCGCATCTCGCCAGTGGCTTCTGGGCCCAACACTTAAATGAACCTGGAGTCCATGCTGGTTCCGCTGGTGGCGATGGGGTGACCCGCTCTCCACCCGCCCCGGGTCCTGCAACTGCCCTTAGCCCCCCTGTCCAGGAGGGCCCTCCGTGACCCCATGACCCCAGGGCAGGGACAGACGTGTGGCCGTGGGAGCTCATTCCTCCTGGCCCTGCCCACCCCCAGAACTAATGGGGAACGTTTCCCCCAGGGAGGGTCACTGGTCACTCTGCCCCTGCTCTTTTCCTTGGGGGCAGCAGGGGCCTGGGATTGGGGGGAATCTGACGACGTGGGGACCCACCTGATGCTCTCCTGTGCGGTCTCTGTGCTGTGTCTCTCCGGGGGCAAACGCTGAGAGGCCGGAGGGAGTGTCCAGGCCTGGTCAGCACCATTGGGGGGGCATGAGGAAGACCTGGGGGTCAGGCCAGACCCTTCTCCATGTCTCCTGGGGGCACACCTGTGAAGGTGCCTATTCAGCGGGGGTGGAACGCGGGACCAGGGTGCTTCTGGCTCCAGCCCGGTTTTGCTTCTTTGTTGATCCATCCAGGCTTCCGTCTGTCCTGGGTTCCTGCCACACTGTCTCAGGACACACTGGGCAGACAGGGACCCACAGTGGGACAGGGAGGATGGAGGGGTGGGCGCAGAGCTCTCTGGTTCCCACCCGTCGCTCTGCGTCTTCATATGCATGGTGTGCCGGGTGGGGGCATCGCCCCAGGACTTGAGGGCGGCATCCCAGGCAGAGGGTCTGTGCCCGGCCCTCGCCCATGTGGAGGAACCAGACGGCACTTTCCCTGCTCCTAAGCAGGATGAGAAACTGGAGGCATGCAGATTCACTTTCCATAACCCCTTTATAGTCATGCAAAGCCTGCAGCCTGTGGGGCTGGAGCGATAGCACAGTGGGGAGGGCGTTTGCCTGGCACGCGGCTGACCCAGGTTCGATTCCCAGCCCCCTATAGTGTTCCCTGAGCACTGCCAGGAGTCATTCCTGAGTGCATGAGCCAGGAGTAACCCCTGAGCATCACCGGGTGTGACCCAAAAAGCCAAAATAATAATAATAATAATAAAATTAAAAAGCCTGCAGATGTGTCCTACCCTGCCACGTGTCTTGGGTCCTGGGTCTCTGGTGGCCGGTGTGGCCAGACTCCCAGCAGAGGCACTCCTGGGTCTCGGGTGAGCCACCCAGGGCCACAATGGGGACTGGGGGACACCCCTACACGTGCCTGTGCCAGGCCCGCAATGCAGGAAACAATCTGGATCCTGGCCAACGTGGCCCACTAGGGCTCCCGCTGCTGTCCATTTGTCCGTCCGTCTGTCTGCCCGTCCGTCGCAGGGGGACACGCGGGGCTCTGCCCGTCTCTGAATCCCGGCCCGTGTTTGTTCAGCGGGTGCGATGGTGTCGGAGCGAGCGTCGGGGACCACACACCTTCCCAAACAAACCCCACTTTATGGAGCGCCCGTGTCTGTGAATAGACAAAGCTAGATTCATACCGTGCCCCCCGCGCGTTCCGTCATCGGGGGGAGACTGCTCCGGCGGCCGCGCACGGCTCCCCGCAAGAATAGGCCTTTGTCCCCCTCGGGCTGGTGCTTTCTCCAGGGCCCCTGTGCGCAACTGGGTTTTCGGGGGCACCTCCTCTCAAGAGAAGCCAGGAGTACAGGCCGCCTGTCTCCATGTCCCCCCACCCAAGAATGACCAAGAATGAGAGCATGCCAGCATCTTTGCGTGTGACCTTGCCCCTGGCAGTCACCATCAGGGCGAAATGTGGGACGGGACTGGTGGGCGATGCTGTGAGGATGCCGGCCCAGGGTGCTTTTCACATGTGGAGGAGGAGGAGGAGGAGGAGGAGAGGAAGAGGAAGAGGAAGAGGAGGGGGAAGAGAAGGGGGAAGAGAAAGAGGAAGTGGAGGAAGAAGTGGAAGAGGAGGAGAAAGAGAAGGAAGAGGAGGAGGAGGAGGAGGAAGAGAAAGTGGAGGAGGAAGAGGAGGAGGAGGAGGAGGAAGAGGAAGAGGAGGAGGAGGAGAAAGTGGAGGAGGAAGAGGAGGAGGAAGAAGAGGAAGAAGAGGAGGAGGAGGAGGAGAGGAAGAGGAAGAGAAGGGAGAAGAGAAGGGGGAAGAGAAAGAGGAAGTGGAGGAAGAAGTGGAAGAGGAGAAAGAAGGAAGAGGAGGAGGAGGAGGAAGAGAAAGTGGAGGAGGAAGAGGAAGAGGAGAAGGAGGAGGAGAAGGTGGAGGAGGAAGAGGAGGAGGAGGAGGAAGAAGAGGAAGAAGAGGAGGGGGAGGACGAGAAGGAGGAAGTGAAGGAGGGGGAAGGGGAGGAAGAGGAGGAGGAGGGCGGCTGCTTCGGTTCGTGACCCCCCAGCCTGCGGGAGGGCAGGGTGACTGCTGGTCGAGGGGAGAAGTGGGGGTCTGGAGGACCCCAGGTCCACTCTCAGAGGCCTCAAGCACGGCCCGCCTGGCCTGCCAGAGTACCAGGCAGTTGAGTGTGGCCAAGCCTTGCAGGCGCTCGGGGGGTCCCCTGCATCTCCCCCCCCACCCCCCACCCCCCCCCCACCCCGCGCACTGTGCCGCTCCATGTGCTCGGAGAGACACTTCTGGGAACTGATTGCGGGCAGCTGCGTTTGCGTGCTGGGTGGGCTCAGTCCTGGGCAACCCCACTCACACCGAGGGGCTGAGGGGTGCTACGAGGGGCTGCTTGGTGTCAGCCCTGGGCACTGCAGCCCATCCAGGGTCTCAAGTCTGCAGGAGATGGTGGGCTTGTTGGCATACAGCAAATATCCTTCCACTGGTCACTGGCCAGCGGGCACCACCTGGCTCTGATGGACCAAACCTCTGGCCAGTGGGGGACCCCTGATCCCAAAGACCCCGTGTCCAAAGAGAACTTTCTCTTTCGTGCCCCATGGCCTTGCCATCCTGCTCCAGGTCCCCTCCGGCAGGGGCCTGGGGACCCCCCCCCCCCACATGCATCACACCCGCTCCTCATCCCCCCAGCACCAGGCTCACTGTTTTGAGAGAAAATCACGCGGTTTGAGGAAAAGTAACAAAGGCGGCATTTGTGTATTTTGCTTTATGGAGCTGAAAATATCTGGTAAATTGATCCTGTGGGAGTAATAAATACACATTACTTTATCTTGTTCTTCATGTCCCATACCCCTGAGCCTTGATAGAACAACACCACTTAATAGACTTAAAAAAGAGTAATTACACTCATTGGTGGTGTGATTTTTCAGCCCTCCCAGCCCTGCCTGACCTTCTAATTTAGCTCACCGTGTCTAACTAATGCATTTATATTCATCTTTTATGAAGCATGTATGCGACAGAATTGACTTCCCAGCCTCTGTCTCGAGCCGGCTCCCGGCCTGGTTAGCAGCGAGGCGCGCGGACGCCATCCGTCTCCATACGTTGGCCACGGAGAGCACGCACTTGCGCACACTCCTCATCTGGCTCGCTGCATTTTTCATCCTTTACAAAAAAATCGTAATGAAAAAAAAAAGTATTTATTACTTTTTTTTTTTACTTTAAAGCTTTTATACATCCTAGCATTATTTACAGCTAAACACGAGGGCCAAAGATGCGAGTGTTTTTAAAATGATTACTGCTAATGTCTCCGCTTGTCACAAGTGCTTAAATTTCCCTGCACTTTGTCTAAAAAACTTAGTACGGTTGCCTTTTAAGAACAACACATTTAAAAGATCTTGCGAGTCAGATTTGCAAACACGGCTGACAGTTGGTGATGAATGAGATGGCAAAATTGGCAAGATGGCTGTCATGCCGTGCGGGCGACGTCACGTACGGAGACGTGGGGCGAAGAGACCCGAGGGCACCCCGCCCACCCCGCCCAGGCAGAAACCCAAGTGGACCGCCACCCTGCCTCGGACCCCGAGCGCGGGCCCGCCAGACCCTCACCCAGGGCTTCCCCTCCCTCCCCCTCCACATCCCACCCGGCCTGGAACCCAATTGTTCCCTGAGCATCTCCCTCACCATATGGCCTCCTCATTACCATACACTAAGAGTCCATATGGGAAACTTGTGAAATGAACTGGATTCATTTTAACTGCCAGATGAGCAGCCTTGTGCTTTGCAAGCTCCGCTTAAGTCATCTGCTGTCTTCATGTTGTTATGGCAACACGGCACCAATAAAAAATTCTAATCTACTGTAAGTGATCACAGTATTTTAAGTGCTTGCCTCTAACTGCCCTCAGAGGGGAAGGGTTGAGTGTGTGTGGAGGGGGGAAGGGATGGAGGGGAGGCTCCG